GACCTCCAGACCCCATTAACCCCTGAGGCGAGAAGCTCCAATACACCCAACCCCCATCCTTTGACGAATGGCCCTTACGACTGTGACCTAAATATGAAAGGGGTAAATTTAAGGATGAGGAAAAAAATCAAGAAGAAAATGGCATCTCGCAAAATCATCATGTTTTCTACTTTCCTCAAACAACAGTTTTTAATTCAGCAAGCACAGATAATCTTGAAACTGATCAACCACCCAAACTAAGATGGCACAACGTCCAGTTCAATGACACTCTTGATTGTGAGTATTTTGAGGTGCTGCAATGGTCCACCTGGATCTGATAATAAGATTGTACCACCCTGAGTCAAGTATAATTCTCCACACATGAAACTTCCCAGGTGCATTCCACTAGGAAGGAAGAAATGCTAGACAGCTGCTGTTACTCATTCAGTGAGAGGGAAATTGGGTGGGAGGAGGGGATGCGCCTGGGAGGCAGTTTCACAGTGACTGTCTCATATTTCCCTCTTTGGTCTCTGCATGTTAACTTTAAGGGTTCAAGGAGTGCATCACAATATGCGCATATGCGTCATTTCCCCAATTCATTAGTTCATATACTGTACTTTCAATGATTCCACATTTCTGGACAATATGTAGTGGAGTAACAGTTCAAATACATGGATTTACCAAAATTAAAGTTGCTCACCTTTGAACACTCTGAGACAGATTATTTACGTCTGCTGAAAATAACAAGGCCAAGGAATATGTTAACTCGGGATTGAATTTCACATCCATCCCACTAATCAGCTTTCAAAATTCAGGTTATTTCTACACAAAAATTTATCAAAATATTTTTTAAGACCAATGGGTCTTAAATTTGGGTCCTCCACGAGGTACACTTGAGAAATTTAAGTTTGATCAAAAGGATGTTAATTATGTTATCGTTTTTATATTGTGTTCAATAGTACGATATATTTTATACTCATCAATAAATCAGAACTTCGGGCAGTCCGACCCCATTTGGATTCCTTATGACCCCACATGGGGTTGGGGCCCCACGGTTGGGAAAGCCTACTCTATGGTCATTAGTAGCTAATGATCAAGGATGGTCAAATGGAAGTCTTTAGCTCTTTAGTTTACAGTACAAAGGCGTGAAGATGAAACTTCATAACAGCACCTTTGCAGAACGCATAAACAGCAACTACAATGTAGCATTGGTGTTTTCCAATTAAATTGTTTTTTTTTAGTAGACCAGAAAATGAAGAAGCAAAGCTGTACTTTCTATTGCATTATGTCAGCTTTTATCCCACCCAAAACCTTTGGCTCAAGGGGAACCTGTATGAAAATATATTTCAAAGGAGGTACATAATTTAAAAAGCACTCCTTGTTGCACACCTTGTCAACAGGTTGGTTGCATTTAGATGTATAGGGCCAGCTGCTGGCTCCAGTCAGCCCTCAACATCTGTCATTCAGCCAATTCAGCAATGGACAGAGGCAAATGTAGTCCTCAATTCAAGAAAGTAAAACAAACAACTTGCAATTATGGTTAAACTGCTACAACATCCTAGATTATACAGGATTTAAACAAACTTGCTCGTCAATATTTTTAAGTTACACAACCAACATCAGGATTTGTAAACGGCTTTTTTGTTTTTTTTCTTGCCTGAGCTTTCAAGGGGCTTCATACAAAACAACAAAACATTTATCACAACAACAGGTGAGCCTTGGTGGAGAGGCTTTTTATCAAGACACAGCAAATCCAATACAGAGAAGAATCCCATCCACAACAAGCAGCCGCACAAAACTAAAAAAATAATGGTATTAGAAGTTTTGTATTACAAACTTTGCACTGCAATCATCGCATTTAAAGACACTTAGCAGCAGACATCTCCGTCTTTCTCTCTATCTGGTCACCTGCATAGTATATAAACCTGCAGCATGTACTGAATGCAAGTGTTCCAGAGCAAGAGAGATTGATCAACTTCTAGCTGATCTTACATGCTGATTATATGGATAGTAAATTACCATAACTATGTAATTAACACGCTTTATTATTGTTCTGAAGCTGAGAGGTAGTTCCAGGGGGGAAAGTAGTTAAATGAAAAACATGTTTTTCTTTGTCATTCTGAAAATTATCAAAATAAGATTTTACGTGGTTCACAGATCTACTTCACAATTTCTAATGTAGCTGCCTTTAAATCACTTCACGTAAATGTAAGTCTTTTGCGATTAATGATGGCATGTTTTCACTTCCCACAAGAACTCTGTGAGGATTCATCTTTCACCGACAATAAAACAAGCAAGCACTCACCCCTTTCCAGTTTCATAACTGTGTTGTTTCATAATACGAGCAGAAATTGAACTAGCAGTAAAATGGTCTCCCTAAGGCACCACGCTGAGCACGGGATTATCTTTGCCCCCATTACCCTTTTTGAAAGGGGAGATATCTCCACAGTCTTATATAACTCCTTAAAACCAAAAACACTCAGCTGACACTGTACTGTAAGTGCACAGGGATCAAGTCAGTAATGTCACAATCAGGGTTTACGTTAACCAGTAATTTCCTGCTTTGGGCCAGTTTCACCTGCAGTTGTCCGACAGATGAAGAGCTCAATGGCCAAGATATACAGCTGGGAAAATATGACCGTTATAGTTTTTTTTCTCCTTTTTAATATGTATCGGATCAACAATCATGATCAATACACTTATCTAATGTACAGTCTCCCCTTTTTTTTGATACAATACGATTGTATCGTTTCAGGTGATACAACCCACCTCTGTTATAAAAGACAAAAGACCATCTCTGCTATCGTCACAATTCTTGATAAACCCTTTATGAAATAAAATGACAGAAGAAGAAATAACAACAGTGGTCATTTACACAGCAAATGTTGTAATGAGTGAGGCTGTTGTTTGTTCATCATCGACTATTCAGTGGATCACACGATCAGATACATCAAGTTTGTGGCTTATTACCTCAGCCAAACCATTTCCTGGGGGAAACCCTGGGTTACATAACTAGACAGGAGAGTTCACCACAGGCACAACAAATGTGTCACTTATCACTCAAAGTATCTAGCGATGTAGACATCTTTGTTTTGAAGTTCCCAGGATTTGAGACATTTTCCCATACAACCAAAAGTTAATTTACCTCCCCAGTTCAGGGTAACTGATAAAACCTTAGCTATTGACTATTCCTCATCCTTGTTTTAAATTAAATCTGTTACTCGCTTCCCTTTGTGTTTGATTTTCATTCATCAGCTATATAGCCATAAACCCTAAGAGGTTTGCAGATTTAATGTTAACGGCACAGCAGTTTCATTATTTAAATATATTCTCACACAGACAGAATATGTGGATGCTTGCACAATTAGAGATTGTTTGTTTTTGCAAATATGCATTCAAAACCACATTTGTTATATGGTCAGTTTATTTTCCCGAGGCGGTGATACTGGAAGGAAAATGTAATCAAACTGCTGAGTGACAGCTGAGAAGTAGTGCCTCTGATTGCTTATCATGCAAGCGCTTATAGAGATTGAGCAACTAACAATAAACATACTCCTACATCTTACACAACTATTCATGGTAACTTTGTAACATGGCAATGAACACCTGAGTTTTGGTACAATGTTTGGCTCTCTTGTTAAAGACATCAACTTGTCCTTGCTCTAGAACGTTTGACAACATTAAACTCGGGTGAGAAATTAATCTGCGTCTAATATTTGTTTAGAATAGAACAGAATTACTTTATTGATCCCAAACTGGGAAATTGTGGCATTACAGCAGCAGGTTATCCAACACACAATATGAGTAAAAAAAACACAATGTTAGCAAATCTAAACACAATATAATATTAAATACAAAGTAAATAAGTATTAAAAATATCAAAACTAAGAATGTGAATATATACAACCAGGATTTAACTAAGCATTACTAGTCTTAAATAGGAAGATTAAATATGGAAGATTGAATGTAAATGTGCAAAAACAGATTTGTAAATGGTTGTACATTAAATATGAAAGATTAAATGTAAATGTGCAAAGACAAAGTTGTAAATGGACAGTATTGACATAAGTTAAAGTGCATGAGTGTAGACATATAATAAGCAGAAACTATTCAATATGAAGGCTTACATTTGATATAGTTGTAACTCTCAAACACAATTACCTTTACATTGAATTAAAACATAAGGATTTAACCAAAGCCCAACACAAAGCTCTTGCACTGTACACAGTAGTCTACCAAAGCAATAAATCAATCATTAAAGTCAACTAAAGATCCTGCTGACTGTGTCACTGACTTCACATCAATGTTGTTGAGCAACTAGTCAGTAATACACATATTACCATCACAATGACAACACAACAATGTGTTCCCGGTGTACTGTACATGAGGTATTGCTCCAGTGCAGCAAGTCAACTTTAAATAAAATCATTGTTTACAAACCTGAAGCTTCTGTGTAGCCAAGTTAGCAGGCTAGCGAAAACAGCCAGACACCACAATAAGGTTGACACACACACACACACAGAGGGGGGAAGCTGACATGATTTATCAACAAACTGCCGTAAATGTGTGGCGGAGGGATACCATTTTTTAATGTCCGCTGGGAACACAAATGTAGGATTCATTCAGTTCAGTAACATTTGCGTTAGCTTTTCCGCAGTTCTGACAGCTAGCTTCCGCAGCTATCAGCGTTAGCCCGTAGCTAGCTTAGCTTAGCCATGTAGCACGTGTTCCTGATTTATAAAAAAAAAAAATTTAAACAAGCGGACGAAAGCCAGCCGCCTATGAGTACTACAGTGATGTAAGCAAGAAGGTTGTTGACTGCTGTCTGGCACTACGCTCATTGTTCAAACGGGTCGACGAACAGCTTGCCTGTAGCCTGGAAAAGGTCAACACTGTTATGTGTGTTCCTGCTCCAAAGAATAGCCGGACCCCGTCGCCCAACAACAGAACAGACACACACAGACCCCCCCCCACCCCCAAAAAAAAAAAAAACCAAAGGACAGCAATGGAAGCTAACAAACCTTAGCGGCGGGGCAGCAGAAACCATTCGGCGGTGTTATCATACACTAATGTCCCGGTCCACGTCAGTCGCTCCAATGTCGCCTAAATAGCTCCCCTCTTCGGCTGAGTGTATCTCCGGTAAATTAATCCAAATGAAAGGGTAGTTTTCGTTTTCATTTGTTCCGCTGGCGGTTTTCAGCGCTCTGTCGTGTCTGTTCCTGCACTACACAGTGTTGTAGCTCTGCTCCCTAAGCCGCTGCTGCTGAGACCATAGCAGGGCTGAACCGCCTCTCTCTCTCCATAGGTCCGCATGCTCTCTCTCCGCCCCTCCTCTTTACTCAAGGACTCACTTTCCTCCATGCCCACAACAAATCTAGTGATCAAGTGTAAAGCCATCACTCAGTACACTCAGTTTACTGCACATATTGCACAAGTTTACTTTTTCTTTACATTTTATTTTATTTACCATTTTGTTTTGTACCTTTTGCACAATTTAAGAATTTATTACTGTAAATATTATTTATCTTATTTTACCTCATTTTATTTTATCTTATATTACCTTATTTTGGTTGTATTGCACCGTGGGACGGAGACAAACGCAATATCGATTCCACTGTATGTCAGACATATTTTGAAATTGACAATAATGTTGACTTTGACTTTGATCATATGGTACCAAAACAAAATCATTAAGGGCATATGTTGTTCTTTTTTTCCAATCTGTCTCTGAACTACTTTCCACACATTGTTATTTGCATTTCTCAACTCAAGTAGCCTACACAGTTCTGCACAAACACAAATCTGTTTCTTATGTCTTAACGTAGGCTATTAATTATTTATATATATATATATATATATATATATATATATGATTTGGGGATGTAGACAATCTTTTACTGCACAGTTGCTTATCTTTACGATTTTAATTCTTAAAAAAATATAGCCATACTGTTTAAGTCAGGCATCAGAACACACAAAAGGCAAATAATGGGAACACTTTTTGTTTTTATCTACTACTTTCCGAACATTATTTATAATACATACATTTTATTTCTCCACACAAGCTGAGCAATTTTCTTCTCATATCATGTTATGAACATGCATGGTATAGGTTTCTTAATAGTTTCTGTACTGTACGTGTATATTTCTTATGTGGCCAATTGTATTTTCCAAAGTTTCAGTTTTTTTGTGATTCAAATTGTGATTCCAAATTAAAAAAATGAAGCACCCACTTTTCCTCCGGTGAGCTGAAGACCGGCTCTGATTGACAATACCTTTGACACGTATGGGACTATTATGTCTTCATCTACACAGCCTTCTTAGACTAATGTAAGTCGACTTATGTTGGGAACATTATCTAAAAATGTAAAATGCTGACAAACACTATTTCATTACGAATATGCTTCATGATGCTTCATCGCATGATATTGTTCATGTTAAGCATTACAATGCAAATTTTTACACAAATGAATTACAGAGAAGACTGATATAATAAATACACTCTGCAAAACTGTTCAGATATACCACCCTCTGATTCATTACATCATTAGGTTTGTAAACATATAATAAACAACTTGCAGTCTACCTCTTATACCACAGCAATAAAGACTATAGAAACAAGTCGGCTATAAAGACAAACACCTCTGTTTTCTCCCACCCTCCTGTCCTGCTCCAGCCTGAATTTAGAGGGTCCAAAAGGGGGGGTCAGTTCAAGCGTTGACACGGCAGGAAGTCTACATCTGTGCTGCTTGATGCCCGTGGAGAAGTACAAGCTGTGAATACAGTGACTCAACATTGAATGATAGTATTTGGGAGATCACAACATAGCAAGCTGTGTACATAGTTGATGACTCTGTTGAAGCCATTGCCCTCTCAATGGTCTGAAACCTCTCTGTCTGCTTCACAGCCACCCATACTGTGGATCTCTCAGTCACGGAAAGGCATTAAAGTCAGTCAGCAGGGCTCATTAAAGAAAAAAACCTGCTACTTTGTAATCCTGGTTTTGACAGGGTAATGTTATTACTTTAATTATATTTTATGTTGTAGTTATAATTTTGTATTATGTCATTCTTCTTGGATGAGGCAACAGCGTCCTGGCTTTGCCATCTAACTATCTGGCACACTTCAGGCAGGCTATATCCTGACCTAAATTTCAGCGGCAGCCTTTCCTATGATGTCACATGGGATTGTTTTTCTTCCCCGTGTTTTTCTTTCTGCTCTGTGGTTTGGGAGACCCCCTCCAAGCATCAGTATAACCACCATCTCTTCTTCCAGCCGTCACGGAGGAAGAGGAAAGAGAGCTGTTTATTTCAGCCAGGCTTTCTGGACAAGAGCACATATCGGAATAATCTATCCCCCATCTCTGCGATGCCCAATTTGTCAGACCACTGATAAAGCACAAATGTTTCTCACTTGCCAGTTTTGATGTCAACAGCTGTGTTTCATCTGCAGCCAGATCCCCTGTTAAGTTAAATGGAGCTGCAGACAAAGCCCAAATGGCCACATGTACACAACCAGTAATATAAAAGTTGATATCTGGACAAGGCACACTTTTCATGATTAAAAAAAATGAATTTGTAGCCTACTTCGGGCAGCAACACCTGAGCTTTCCCCTCTAGAGTTTCTTAAAAGGATCTGGAGGAGAATTGTTTCAATAGACACAGAGCCCACATGAAAGGCTCCACAGAGACTGACTGCATCAGCTAAGCAGTATTCAACCTTTGAAGGCTGTCGGTTGATAGATGCACTGCAGACTGTCATTACAGCTCTGAAATAAAAGATGAACAACAGAAAATCCTTGAGAACAGAGCAGAGGCTTGAGGGAAAATCCTCATCAAAACAACACTCCTGCCATCGGGAGTCGAGCAGATTAATGGAGCTCCGCTTTGTAACTGATCGGCTTTGATTACAAATTCAAATAACGCTTTTGCTCAGTGCCATTTTCCAAAACTCTGCCTGATTAAGAACACATTATTACACCCTGCCATTCTCAGTTTTCTATTGTCCTCAAGGGTAAGGCGTGTTCAGTGCAACTAACACTAATTTAATTCAGGCGCAATTAAATCAAACAAAGAATCATAGCTGTAAAATGTCTTGAGTGTTTCATTTATAAGGCCATTTTTAGATGACGTGATGGATACTAAATGGCATGTGTTTCTATTTATAACACTGGTGTAATTACATGCCAGGTTCTTCCTTTGGCTATGATGTACATTTTTAGCTGAGACATTATTCATTCTGCCATGGCAGGCATTTTATTATTGTCATGACTGGGCTCAAACAGAATGGGAAAATGATCTTTCTCTTTAGAATTCAGAGGCTGAAAGCCTAAGAGAAACCTGTTGTTTTATCTGCTTCAGGTTAACACTGTTTTCCTCTTATCATTCACTAATTATTCTGGTTTATAATGCACATTCACAGCCACCTAACTGCCTCGTCCTCACAGCAACAAGAAGACAGCACTGAGAGCGAAAATGGCAGCATCTCAGGGAAAAGTGAAACGACTGCCTGCATTGTTGGAATTCCGGCTTAACTTCCTGAGTCTGTCCACACCTGGATGACCGCCAACATGCGCTTTTCTCTCATTTTTTGCTTTCCTTCCCTTTATCAAGATCATATGTAGACTAAATTTTACTATAGAGAGACAAAAATATGAGTCTTTCCAACCTCAAAGAGGTTTTCAACCAGAGGTAATACAAAGTTGGATTGTGTTCCCTGTCTCTGTTACATCATTTAACAAGAATTTAAACCGCTTTTTTTTTTGTTGCTGGATTGGTTTTGATCTCAAACTGTGCTGAGAAGAAGTGTTTTTTCCACGTTTTTGATTTAACCTTTATAACTGCAGTAATGCACACAAAATGGTACGTGATATGTTTAATAATTTGTATTTGACAATTCAATCTTACATGCACCATAATTAAAATCACTCGCACGGCAGTGTTTGTGTCAGTGGATACGTTACACTACTACACGATACTACACGATTTGATATGATCCGATGAAATATACTGTACGTTACTATCCTCTAGGGAGATTTGACTTGCACTCAAAGTGTTGTACGCATTTAGCTGACCCAGAGTATCATTAAAAAATAAAAATGAACAACAATCCACATGTAAAACAGAAGCACATACCAATGACATTTAACACCACATACTACACAACTCATACAGCCTCAAGAAACATTGTTAGAAAAATAAATTGTGCAAGGCACAAAATAGTTTTTAAAATGGTTCAGTTTGCATCAGGGAAACCTGTATCGTCTGCCTGATGGAAAGTGCACTCTGATACATATATGCTTTAATGGTGGAGGATGTGCAATGCATCAGACAAACCTCTCTGGCTAAACTTAATCAAACCTAATAAAGGACATGCTATAATGTTATGTTTCCCCTGTTTTCATGCAGCGAACACTTCCTTCATTTCTTCAGTGTCATTGGCAGCCAGGGGCGTGACAGACACTTGTCCCATGTCCAAGTGCACCTCTGTTATGAACTGGCAGTGGCACAGCAGCGCTGGAGCTTAGCGCAGTCAACCATCTGTTAGCTTGCATGGATTCATGCAGAGAAAACCAGAGTGGACCTTGTATGGACATGTACAAGTATGACTGTCATGACATCAATGTTCGCCATGAAACGAATAAAAAGCACCATTCTTGTCTTTCTGTAATGGAAAAAGCATGCGAGCAGAGTGTGATTCACAGCCTTGGGACATGATACAACATATATTATATATGTGCGTAAGCACTCACATATGGATCACATTTTGGCACTGGTGAGGCTTTTCAGACAAATCAGACAGTTAGTCAGCCTGGATATTTACTTTTTGATCGTTTGCCACAACCTCGACAGTAACTGATAAAAACTTGTGCCTTGTACAGATGAAATCAAGTCAAGGTGTTGTGGATTTTTTTCAGTATGTTATTCTGAAATGTGAGATAAATTTTGGCAGCTGAGAAGCACTCTGTGATGAAAGCCAAAGGGAATCAAAGGGGTATTCTGCCAGCATGGATATGGAAATGACATGTCAGCTCGTCACCTTTATCAAGCAGACCAAAGAAAGTCTGTCCACCAGTTACTGGACGTTTTCTTTGACAGAGGGATTGACATTTGATCCTGTGGTGAAGATAGTGCTTTCTAGCGAGGACACATAAGGAATTTCTTTCTCTTCTCTCAAGGACAAAGCCCCTTTTGGCTGCAGTTTTTCTCACTAAGTGGCTGAGCCATAAGCCCAGAGGTGAATTGCTGCAGCTCAGCCAGCTCAG